CCCCTTGTTGTGAGTATTCCTGGTTCTTAGTTTTTGTGGATTTTGTGAATTTATGTTTTTGGATTTTTGCTTTTGTTACCCTTTTTGTTATTAAATCTTTAAGAAACCACTTCAGTTTCAGTGTCTGCATTTGGGTCCTGTCAAACCTCTGGGCCACCATGACACAGGACAGGGTTGTGGAGAGGGCAGGTCTTTTCAAATATTCATCAAAATCCACCACTATACCTTTAAACCAAACCAGATTTCTGCTCAGTTTTACTGAAAACATTTCAACACCTATCAAAGAGACTCAATCACCTATTCTCGCACTAGAGCTACCTATTCATCCTGATCACATTGTTCCACACTCCTGTCCAAACATTAAAATTCTCTTGCCCCGACTTTCCATTTGATCCCCATTCACAATCTCCCTCTAAGTTCTCTCATCAAACACTACTCCACTATTATTCTGCTCTCCTGCTGTTCGCTCCCTTCAAAACAACCACGCCTCACAAATCAGCATCAGCTGTTCATCAGTATCACTCCCTAGCAGAACAAATGAAAATAAAAGATTTAAGTGCACCATCTCTCCTCTTGCTGTGCCATTAGCTCCCATGAAGCAAATACAGTTGATAGCATTTTGGTTTATGACTGCTTATATAAACAATCATCATTCCTTTGATGAAGAACACACATCTTCTCTGCTTCACAGGCTCATTAAGGAAACTACATGTCTCCTAGATTTGTGGACCGTCCTCTGATCACACAAACATTAACGATCTCAGATTATCATTAATCAGGATTTTACTGTAAAATCGGAGAAATAATCCAGGAGGATTATGAGCTAAAGTGGTATTTGGTGGCTGTGTTACCATGGGATCTGTGCTGATTGTAGTTATTAGTGACTTCTCAATCCTTCACTGTCCCTTTGCCAACATTCATTTTATCCTGGAACCACAAGTCAGGGGCTTTACCCTGATGCTTGACTCAGTTATCACATTTTTGTACATATTGGTTAAGAGAAATTCACTTTTATCAATCTGGTGGGAGTGAAGTCCCGAGGGTGTTTTCAGAGATTCTGCACCAGCTAACAAAATTAAAAGGTTGCTTTTAAAACCCTTTATTTGATTGTTACAGAACAGTTTAAACACCCTGGTATATTTCTAAACCATTATAAAAAAATCCTGACTGAAATTAATTTTAAAAAAATTGTTATCCTTATGTCATATTTGTAGCGAAAACAACAAATGTATAAATATATATTGGTTTATAATGATTAAGTTTGTCAGTAATTTGATTGAAAATGCATTCAATCAATTAATCAAATAGCTCACAACTTTATAAGATATGTAAAACTGTTAAAGTAATACAGCAGATTCACTTAGTCTTAGCTCCACCTGACTGAAAATCAGCAAATATCAATAATAATGGACATTAATAGCTGAGCTGTTTGCAATAAATTAACTGTTTTCATTGAGAAATATCCTTTAAATGAATATATGACAATAATCATTTATTTGCTTCATAAAGTAATCAATGACAGTTTTTAATTATTTAGTGGGTAATTGAGTCACTTTAGTCCCTTTAATGTGTGAGGAGAGGAGTAGGAGTGAAAAGTGATGCTTGTTATGAGAAGTCCTCCTATTCTGCACATTCTGTATAATCATCCATGCAAACGCGCTGTCTGATGAGGCTTCATCAAAAAGGAGGAATCATGTTTACTCACCGGAGGATGTTTTCTACACCAGCGGCTCAGATATGGCTCCTGTTTAAATGGAAAAGATTCGGACCGAACAGGGCAGATTACTCCATCCCTCTCTGTTTCTCTCTCTCGCCTCGCGCAGATGCACGCGCACTGCCCCTAACTGTATAACTGCCAGATGTGTCACGCGCTGCAATTCCCCGCGCTGATTATGGAAAGCGTGGCCGCGCTGCACGATAATCCAGATTAAATCAACCAACAGTGTCCCAGTCAGACGCATATTGCATGTATGGATGTGGAATCCGCTCTCTGCTCTGCCACAGGCTTCTATTAAGCTATGGGCTCAGCTTTCTCAGGCATTGAGGCTCAAAGCACTAACTTTTATTACAACAAAAATCTAGGTACCCGTTTAAAGAAAACTACGGCAGAGGATTAAGGCCACTGAAAAAAAAAGTTAACTGATTTTTAAATTTTATTTCAGTTTGATATGGGAAAAAAGAATTATTTTAAAAAATCTGAGAAAAAAGTCAGAATTCAAAGAAAAAGGTCAGAATTCTGAGATTAAAGTCAGAATTCTGATGAAAAATTCTGAGATTAAAGTCAGAATTCTGAGATTAAAGTCAGAATTCTGAAAAAAAAATTCTGAGATTAAAGTCAGAATTCCTGTGATTAATGTCAGACTTCCGAGAAAAAAAGTCATAATTCCGAGATTAAAGTCAGAATTCTGAGAAAAAGTCTGAATTCCGAAAAAAAAAAAGTCAGGATTGTGAGAAAAAAAGTCAGAATTCTGACTTTTTTCCCATATTAAACTGAAATAATATTTAAAAATCTGTAAAAAAAAATAAAAATTTAAGTGGCCCTAATCCTCTTCCGTAGAAAACAGAGCAGCTAGTTTATCAAATTTTAAGCACAAATTAGGTTCAAGATAATTTGTTGTTGTTGTTATTTTTTATTGGTATGTCCTAAGAAAATTTTTAAATGTTTCATTTCTTTGTGTTCAGTTCCATTGATTGATTGATTGATTGATTGATTGATTGATTGATTGATTGATTGATTGATTGATTGATTGATTGATTGATTGATTGATTGATTGATTGATTGAGGTAAAGATTTTAAGGGAAAATATTGTAGAACCACCTGCAGTTACAGCTTCAGGTATGTTTTGTTGCGGCTTCGCCAGCATTGGACATTTAGAGCCTGGTCCTCAGAAGGCTTGCCTATATCTGTAATTCTTTGTATTGCAACAGTGATTTTATTTTATTTTTTTGTTATTTCAATTATTAATATTCATCTGTTGATTCAACAAAACATAATCATGCTTCATCCACGGTCATCTATCTACATTTTGTTTTGCATTATATTTGGCCAGTTGATGTTGAGGGATAAATACAGATGTTTAAAGTAATCTACTGTTATGTCAATTAGCAGACAAGAAACAACTCTCTCATGGTTTATGGTATTTCATTTCTGATATTTCCCCTAAATTTATTTATATTCCTAATTTGATCATTTTACTTTTGTTTGTAGCATTTTACGATAGGCAGCCTATTTCAATTGTACTATAGATATTGTTTAGTATATTCATTGTTATATAAGCAATGAATATATATAAGCATTATAACCTTTATGCTAATATATAACGTTTTGACTAATTTATAACCTTACTTATTTTTCTTTTACAACTATTATCAAACTGCCAGTTGAAAACACAGCCTGATGATTTTTAATGCATCTTTGTAGATCAACCACAACAATTCCACTACCCAAGAAATAAAATCCTCTGCAATTTAGCTCCTCTTATTGAGAATCTCTAAAGATTGGGCCCATAGTGTATAGAAGTTAGAATTGTATTCCTCTTTGCTATATTCTTGGATCTGGGTTCCTGGATTCAGCTCTTGACTTTGGCTAGGCCATTGTAACCCTTGAATCAGAACTAAACTAAACCATCCATTATATATCTGCCGGATATGTTTAGATGTCCTGCTAAAAGTAAAACCCCATTTCAGTCTTTGCTGTTGTGCAGATTTCTTCCAGGATTGTCCTAGATTTAGCTCTATATGTTGACCCCTGCTGTAGTTTAGGAGGAAAGGGGGACATTGTTGAAGGTGTGTGAAAACTTTTACAAAGCGCTGCTCAGAATCTTTGTTAAAGCAGCTGAAATTAAATGGGTTTGTGAGGAGGGAGCGAAGATAAAATGAGAATTATTTCTCTCTTCACTCTCCTGCCCCCACCAACACACTGACATAACTGGGAGAACTAGAAATACCAAAGGGAGGAGCAGAGCTGCAGGCAGGGCTCCAAGAAGTAGCAGCAGTTTCTAGGCTAAATGGAAATGGAAATGGTTCATGTTTTCTTTCATTCAAAAATAGAAGGTTTCATCTTTTTCTGAGGAGTTCTTTGCAAAAGCAATTTTGAAACTTGTCTTAGATAAATTTGGTCTATCTATATATTGGTATTATTTAATTTTGAAAGCGAGTCTCCTAACCTGCTCCCAGGTGAAATATACTAATCTGTGGAGAATAAAAATATACCTACAGCAGAGCTTCTGGATTTTACAAACAGCTCCTCACTGTGCTTTCACTGTGAAGAAGATTGATGTCCATCTTAGATTTTCTTTGTGAAAGATTGTCCCAGTGATGCATGTATTTGCAATGTTGCTGTGAAGCAACTGAGGCATTTCTGATGAGGGTTACCACATTCTCTAGGCAGTAGTAGTCACTCCAACTTTATCCATTGGTTATTAATTCATAACTAATGGATAATAAGGATTTTCTTTTAGGACTTTGAAAGATTATCATAATATGAAAGGTTTAGCATTATTCATTATAAATCTTTATTTAACCAATAAATAAAATCTTCTTGGATTTTCTCTATGTTTTCTTGGCCAATACTTACATTAGAACTTGTGTTCTTACACACCTGATGTTCAGTTAATCTGGTGTATTTAACTTGTATTGCTTCATATAAACAATGAACTTTGTTCAAGGTGAAACTGGTGCATTTTATAGTGTTCCCACATTGGTGAAATATGTTTTAAGAGGTAAAGTCACCAGAAATCTTGGGACCAAATTAGGACAGCTAAAGACTTAGTCTGTCCTAAAGCTAAGCTTATAATTAAGTGTATTATTTTGGACTCAGTATTATTTTGTTTTTGTGCTTCTTTTAATTTTTTGTTTTTAATGTGAATATATTTCTTTGCTTCATAATTTTAACTGTCCTTTTCATGTTTGTTTTCTGCCCCTTTAACTCACGTACACCCACCCACACAAACATTGGATCCCATCTGTGAACACATGCCGCTGTTTAAAAATAGCCCCTACCAGGAGCTTCCTGAAGCGTCCAGCAGAGCAGAACCCCTCAGTGCGTCTGAATAACACGTTGTGTCTCTGCAGTTCCCATGTGTTGGACTGAGTGTAGTTCAGATCTGTTTGTGCAGCTTTTATCTGAAACATTTTTTTCTTCTTGTTTGTCTCCTTTGAAATACCTTATTAAGGGTTGGTTCTGTGTCCTTAACAAGTACGTTTGACAGAAAACAAAATGGAGGCACTTTCTGATCAGTTCCAGGAGTTTCACCCAAAGCATGGCACTAATATCTTTCTAGACCATTCGGGAACTCAGGCCACTCGAGTAGAAAGTTTTGCCAATGGTGTTTGTTTCAGCAAATACCCCCTGAAGCCTGGAGAGATCTTTCTTATTGAGATTGAGGAGAAGGAGCTTGGCTGGTGTGGACATCTACGGGTTGGTCTCACTGCAAAGGACCCATCGAGCTTAGAGGTGGTCCCTGAATACTCTATTCCAGACCTGATGGAGCTAGGGGACAGCTGGATTTTTGCCATCACCCGCAACCATAATAAGGTAATAGAGGAATCCGAGGTTCAAGCAGTTGGAGAAGCAGGCCTTGGTGCTGGACGGAGACTTGGGCACGGAGATGAAGAAGATGGAGTTCAGGGAGATGAAGGTGGAGGGAGCAACAACAAAACAAAGACTTTCTTCACTGACACACACTTGTACATTGACACCATTCGAATCCCCAAAGACAAACTTGTTGGCCGTAGCCGCCCCGGACGTTTTAGCCACATCTTAGATGATCTTTATAAGACAAACGCCCTGCCTCCCACTGCCAGACGTAGCAGGATCGGAGTTCTGTATGTCCCTAAAAGCAAAGACACAGCCGATATGCATATCGTGATCAACGGAGAAGACATGGGAGCTTCTGCAAAGGGAATACCTTCTACCACACCTCTGTACGCAGTGGTGGACGTCTTCGCTGCTACCAAGTGTGTCCGGATAGTCCAAGTGGAATATGGCTGTGAGTGTCATATTAAAATTAACAGTCATAGGCTCATATAAGTCTTGCATTTATCTCTAATTTATTGTGGTTCCCTGATCACTTCCAATAGTGTAAGTTTTTTTATGGTAGTTTTATGCATCTTAAGCATTTCTTGCTATATTTACATGTTTCTGAAACATTTCCTTTTTCAACACATAGCTAAGCTGATCTGCTGTCTGTCTTCTCTGCATGTCCTACCAGTCTCCTCCTTGCAGACGCTATGCAGGAAGGCCATTCAAAAGCATATTGTCCACCGGATGGCTATCGACTGGCTCCAGCTGCCTGAGGCTCTCAAGCATTATTGCAAGTATGAATGAAGTATGTGGATGTAGAGGAAAACAAGAACCCTCTGAGACCCTTCCAATGTTTAACAGCCATATCAAACCTTTATTATACAATTTCTCTATCTGGAATAAAGCAAGATTTGATCTGAGTGGGTGCAGCAGCTGTGTCTGTATTTTATTTCATCCGGATGAGTGAACAATATACTGGGAGAACGTGGTTTGGTCGGTGAGCAGAACTGAGGTCTGGATCTTGTTGAAGGAGGAATAATGGTCTCATGGAAATTTTCCTGTAAAGATACTTCTCCAACTGGGGGTCCAGAGCTCTCAGTATATTGTGATGCTGTCATAAAGTGAAAGGTGATGAAAAGAGCAGCTCCTTGGGATTCTACAGCACCTCTTCAAGGTTTCGACTGACCTGGAGAACATTTCCACTGATTTGGAAGACTGCCCTGTCCACATACCAAAGTGAACTTCACCATGTGTCCTCAGTGACTCTTGACCTGTTGCACTGATATCCCACATCCTGAAGATGAAGCATATACTAGGACGCCTCTTAGTCTCGGCACTGTGGGAATCCTGTTATCTGATTTTTCAAGTGCATTTAACACAATTCAGTCTGATTTGCTTTGCCAGAAACTCCATAAAACTCAGGTGGAGGGATCAATAATTACCTGAATTAGGGACTGCCCGACAGACAGCTGTTTGTGTGACTGAAGGGTAAACTGTCTAATCCCTTTTTACACTGTACAGGAAAAATCTGGGTCTTTTCATCTGCAGAAATACTCAGATGACTCTGTAATCGTTGGGTGCATTAGAGAGGGGCAGGGAGCTGAGCAAATGGAGTTGGTGAACCGTTTTGCTGCATGGTGTGGAAACAATCATCTGATCCTTAATGTCAACAAAACAAGGAGGAGGATTTTTCATTTTAGGTTAAAGAACAGAAAAAAAGTCAAATGCTATTAAATTATGTAACTGCAGAAGAAGTGGATGTGGCAGAGAAGTAAAAAATACCTCGGTATTCACCTGAACAGCAGACTAGACTGGAGAGGCAACTGTGAACCCATCTACAAGAAGGGACAGAGCAGACTGAACTTCTTTAGGACACTCAGGTCATTTACTGTTTGCTGTCAGATGCTCCATATCGCCTGTTAATCTGTTGTGGAGAGTGGGATCTCTTCTTCCAATATATGCAGGGGTAAAAGAGCTAACTATTCAAAGAAACACAACAAGCTCATAAGAAAGGCCTGCTTTGTTCTAAAGACTCTAGAGCCGACTGTGATGATTTCACAAAGAGGAATTCCTCATAAAATGTAAATGGATGATGCTCACAGCAGAGATGGGAAGTAACGAAGTACAAATACTTCATTACTGTACTCAAGTAGATTTTTCTGATATTTTTACTTTACTTTACTACTTATTTTTATGGTGACTTTTTACTTCTACTCCTTACATTTTTACACAAATATCTGTACTTTCTACTCCTTACATTTTAAAAAATTGGCTCGTTACTTTATTTTTGAATAATTTCAGTGGAGTTACCGTTATTATTTTTCACGTCATCAATACCAAATACAATCTAATTGGATGGGAATCTACGTTGCATTTGACGCATCACTACAAGATGAATCGACAGATTCGGCGGTATTCATTCGCGGCAAATCGTTGCAGCTTGGTGGCGGTGGCGTTAGCATAGTAGTATGGACGACAAGATGATTGAAAATGAACACAACGGAGATCTAGTCTTATTGGCAGACATCCATTTAAAATGTAGGCAACAGCATGAAAAAAGTGGTTTCTACTTTTACTTTTATACTTTAAGTAAATTTACAAGCCTGTACTTTGTTACTTTTACTTGAGTAAAGAAGTTTAATCAGTACTTTCACTTTTACCAGAGTATTTTTTAACACAGGTATCTGTACTTTTACTCAAGTATGGAAAGTGAGTACTTTTGCCATCTCTGGCTCACAGCTGTCCGTAAACCTTAGGTTGCTTGTTAAGATCAAGACAGACCGAAGATCCTTGCAGCTAACAGCAATTAACATGCAATAAAAAAATATAAGAGTTTCCTTTTTTTCAAAGTGAAAAAAGAAAAGAAAAAAAATATATATATATATATGTATGTATATATATATATATATGTATATATATATATATATATATGTATATATATATTTTTTTTTTTTTTTATTCTTTTTTTTGCAAGTGATGCAGTGTTGAGCTTTTCTTTATCAGGATATTCTGCAGTAGGCTGCCAGCTCAGCTATAAAACTGAATTTCAGAGTTTACTCAGGTTACAAGAGGTGTCTCATTAGATTGGCCAATTAGAAGAGCATCTGGCACAGGTTAGGCTGAGTCTAACACCTTATTTACTTCTGTTTTATTGAGTTGCTTTTTATTTAAGGATTAAAGTATTTCGTGGTAAACCGTCCTTCAAGGTGCTCATTTCAAAGCAACGCCTAATTATTAGAAAAGAAACACATTTATGCCGTGGAATTCCTTCTCTTGGCCGACACTGACATCTAGCGGTAGGATTAACAAACACAAGCAGTGGAGGATGACGTCACTGAACACAACAAGGGGGCTAAGCTGTATTATCAGGGAGGAGAAACCAAGAACCCAGACCAGCATCTCTGCTTCTGTATCCGCAGCGGAACATGTCTTTCTGTCGCTTCCTTGGTGCTGAGATCTACAAGGATCATTTTAAGCCAGGTGAGCAAAATGGGAAGTGATGTAACATAGCAGGCTGGATTACCTGGGATAAAAGCAACCGATCACTATAATTAGATGGTTGATTTGATTCTTAAATGCGTAAGTGGCGCCAGGTGATTTAGGCATTGCACATGCAGCAAATAAACTTTAAACTGATTTAAATCCATAGAATAGAATAGAATAGAATAGAATAGAATAGAATAGAATAGAATAGAATAGAATAGAATAGAATAGAATAGAATTGAAGGGGATGCAATAGAATAGAACAGAATAGAATGGAATGGAATAGAATGGAATAAAATAGAATAGAACAGAATGGAATAGAATAGAAGAATGGAATAGAATACAGTAGAATAGAATAGAATGGAATGGATTGGAATAGAATGGTCTGGAAATGAATGGAACAGAATACAATAGAATGGAATGGAATGTAATAGAATAGAATAGAATAGAATAGAATAGAATAGAATAGAATAGAATAGAATAGAATAGAATAGAATAGAATGGAACAGAATGGACTGGAATGGAATGGAATAGAATAGATTTGAATAGATTAGAATAGAAGTGGTGCATTTTTTTCAGAATGCACATAAAAAACAATTACAGAGGTTCCTCAAATTCAATACAGAAACAAAAAACATGAGAAAATTAATAGTTAAATATATCCTAAAATCTATTCTTACAGGTCTGTTGTTGAGGTGCAAGTTTCTAAGACAGATATTATTGCTCTTACCTGTGGACATAAATTGTCTCCTCATCACTGCTCATCACAGGTTCTTGTGATTTTAAATACAAGTATTTGAAAAGCTTTTCAACTCAATATGACACAGAATGTAATTTGATGTGACCCATAGCCTGAGAAACACAGCTGATTTTTAGGATTGTAAGAATATTTGGATTTAAAATACTTTGGCTGTGGTATGGGGGTATGTTCTGAATTCACAAATACACTTTACCACAGTCAGGACACAGCTGGCATCATTTAAGGTGCCTCATTAATGGTCAGATGATCTAGTGGACGCTGGTAGGTATCAGTCAGGAGAAGACTGCCAAAGAATTTCCAAAGCATCTGGAAAACAATGAAACTCTAAAGATATACTGGAAATAATATTCAGCCGCAGCAATAGTACCATGAACTTGATGAAACAACGTCAAAGAACTGATCCAGTAGGCTGTTAGAGGGCCATTCAAGGAGCTGGTGGGCTCTTTAGATGGAACAAGTGACAACAATATTCGGTGTTTCTGTCTGGGCTACATGCTCAGGTGATAAAAAAGGTTGGTGCACTGGCTTGTTTGCGGCCGTTCTTCTCCGGTGAGGGGGAGAATATTATAATTTTTTTGTTTTTGTTTTTGTTTGTTTTTTGTGTGGGAGGGGGTGTGTGGGCGGGGGGATCGGGGCTTGGAGTGGGGCTCGGGATTTGCGCTTAGCTGTGTTGTGTGGCTTTCTTCTTCTTCGGATTGGTGCTGTGGGACCGGTGTTGGGGGGAGTCGTTCGGGGGCCGGGGTCGGGGTGGGGGTGATGGCGCCGGTGCCGGGGGTTTTTGGGCATTGCCCGGCCCTACTGCGGGGTGGGTCTGGGGTGGCTCCTTGGGCCTGGGATCCCTGGGGCGCATTGCCCTTGGGCGGGGTCCCCGGTGGGGGTTCGGGGGTTCGGGTTCTGTGGGGAGTGCTGCTTGGGTTCTGGGCCGGTGTACGCCTGGCTGTCTGTCCCTGCTGCCACGGCCTCTGGTGTGCCGGGGTGCCTCGGGGCCTGCTGGGCTGGGGGGGGGCATGGACATTAACACCTATGGCAAGTGCTTACCCCCTCACGGGTTTGCACTCTGTAAGTGGGGGAAGGGGAGGGAGGGGGAGTAGGTATGATCTCGGCCTGGATGTCTTCTGTCGCTTGTGTGGTGAGTAGCTTGATTGTTATTGTAGGGGAGGGATTACATCTCCGGAGGGGGGGTGGGGGGTGGTGATAGAGGGAAGAAGATCTTTGAAGGGCTTTGGGTCTGGCTCCCTGTCTTGGTCCTGGTCCGTGCTGCCCCCTGGTGGGGCTTCGTCCGGGGTGGGGGCTCTGCGTGTTGCGCGTTGGCTGGCCGGCTGGGATTGTCCCTTCCCTTATTCATTTATTTATTTATTATTATTTTTTTTTTTTCTTATCTTCCTTTTATATTTTTTTATTTATTTATTTTTATTATTATTATTTTTTATTTAATTTATTTATTTATTATTTTTTTTATTTATCTACTTATTTATTTTTTTATTTTTTTTATTATTATTATTTTTTTGGATGGACAGGACGGGGGGGGGGGTGGAGTCGGCTCCGTGCCCGGCTGGCTGGTGGGTCCTGCTGCCGGTGCCCCCGGGCTATGGTGGTGAAACTGGTGGGGCCCCCTTCTCTGGGGGGGCTCTCGGGGAACGGGGGTGCCTATTGGAGTCAGCGGGGGAGCTGGCTCCCTGGGAGTGC